CAGAACCAGCTGACCCAGGAAGATTATGGCAGACTGGGGGGAGTGTGGCAAAGGCCCAGGAAGGTTTCAGATGGAGTGACATGTCCCTTGCCTCATGGCCATGGGAGCAACTGATGTCCTGCTTTTGTCAGCCTCCCAGTTTGACCTTGCCCATCACTTTCCCCTTGGCTTTTCCAGGAGGGAAATTTTCTTTGGAAGTGAGGAGTTTTATTTTTGTTCTTGTGGTTGGTTGTGGTGTTTTGCTGTTTTTTGACATTTGGTTTTTTTTTCTTTATTTGGTTTATTAAAAACCAAAAAATGTTGTTTAGGGAACTATTAGGATTTCCTTGCCCTGGGGAAGGAAGCAGGGAGCACAGATGTGTTTTTTGTGTGTTTAGGAGGCCCAAGAGTTGTGCTAAGTGCTCCCTGGGAGGAGGCAGAGCTGGGAGGGGAGGGGAAGGGAGAGTGCTGGGGGTGCTGGGAGATGCTCTGTCAGTGAATATTCAGTATTTTTCCAGTCCAGCATTAGAAATGAAGCAAACTGTACTCATACCCAAATTCCCTGTGCAGTGCCCAGCCCAGGGAGGGAGCTCAGCTCTGGCAGGGAAGGTTTGTGACAGGGCTCCTCTCCTGGGGCTGAGCAGGGCCAGGTGGGTCCCTGGAAGCTGCACCAGGTTTCATTTGGGAAAGCAGATTTGTCAGAACCTGGGGCTGTGCGTGGTGAACCTGTGTTCCCCAAGGCCAGCAGGGACCCCTGGGGACCCCAGGGACAGGGGAGGGCAGAGCACAGTCCTGGCAAGGGCCAACCCACAGAGCTTTGCTGTGTGTGCCCACACAGCCCTGGCCTGGCAATAGCAGTGGAAAACAGCATCTCTGAGGGGCTGCTGCCATCCCAGCCTGGGGACCAGTGACAAGATGTCTGAGGAATGAGGATTGGCTCCATTTACCTTCCCAAGGAAGGCAGCACATTCCTCATGTGCTGCCAGCATAGCCCATGGAGGAGCTCAGCTGATGAGTGACACTTAAGCCACACGGGTGAAGCTTGGCTGCTTAGGAGTGTTCTCAGCACCAGCACAGGCAGAATCAGGGCCTGAAGAGGTGCAGAGACTGTGACCTTGAACAATTGCAAAAGCCCTGTGTTGTATTTGCAGTCCAGATGATGGAAAGGCTCAGATAAGGAGGACTCTCAGGAGTCTGCAGTCCAACCTCCTGCTGCAGTCACCCCGAGCCTCTTCATCCTTGTTCACAGCCTGAGGAAGAAAGCAAGCCTTCCTCATCTCCAGCTTGGGTCAAGGTTGTGTGTGGATGGAGATGCTGTTGCTGTTTCTCCCCTTCTGCAGTGCCTTTGAAGATATCTACATTTTCTGAGCCTTTTCTCACTTGGTCAGACTTGCCTGGTCCCAGCACCGACCTGGCATTCCTAAGATGTGCTTCCATCAGCCCCCAGCCAGGATCTGGGGTGCATGAAGGCTCTCACATGGCCTTCAGTGAAGTGCAGGATGGAGCTGGAGGCTGAGAATTGAGTTGGGCTCTTCACCAGCTCTCTGCAAATCAGTGTGTGTTTTCAGTCAGGTGGAACAAGCACAGAGTGCTGAGGAGCCAGAGCTGGGAGCAGCCTGCCCCGATGCACTGAGGTTGCTGATTGCAACCAAAGCTTTCCAGCCATGCTGCTGAAGCAGGGGATTCACCTGGAGCCTGCAGGAGCTGTGGCTCCAGCAGGGTGAGCTGGGGCTGCCCAGGAGCTCCCCAGCCCTGGGGCAGTGGGTCTGTGCTCAGTGAAGCAGATTTGCCGGTCTGTGCTGCAGGGGGAATGGCCACAGGCCTTACTTTGGATGTGACTGACAAGTCCCTGTTTTACTGGTCTGCTCTTAGGTTTGGTGGCCTAAAAGCAAAGGCAAAAAGCTAATTGCCTCCTAGAGGAGAATTTTAAAGTTTGGTTTGGTTCAATTGGAAACTGATGTTTTTTAAAGGAAGTTATACTGGTGGTGGAGTGTCTAGCCCCTGACTTCTAGCAGTTGTGCATGTTGCTGTGAAGATTTGTGCTGGGGAGACCTGGGCAGGAATGATTGCACCTGTCTCTGTGCAGGAGCCAAGGCATTCCATGTTTTAAGCTGTGTATTACTAGTTTAATAAAGCAGGTTCCTTCTGCGTGCCAGGGAACTTACTCAGCTGCAGCTTACAAAACCTTCTTGTTCTCCCAAAGTTCTTTGTGCAAAAATAGATAGACACCAACCAGTAAATCCACCTTTAATTTGCAGGGGTATATTGAGCTTTGAGTGTGGCCTTTTCTGAATGAAGGGCAGCAATAAAAGCTCCCTGGCAGCCCCAGGATGGGATGAGAGAGCCTTGCAAGGCAATGTGGTGACAGCACCCTTGTGACCTTCACCTCAGGCCAGCTCTGTGTGTGCAGTGATGCTGGCAGCACAGAGCAGCAGAGGTACCTGCAGCTGCCATGGGTCATTGCTCAGTGCCACTTGTTTTCCTGCACTCTGCTCCCACCTGGACACCTGAACCAGCAGGAGAAAACCAGGAGAGGCTCTTGCTGCCTGAGGGTTCTCTCTGCTCTGCTTGCACAGCTGGGTGTGGGGATTTAGCCAGCAGTATGGCCAAGAAGGCCAATGAGAGCTGGGTCTGTAGCAGCCACGGTGTGGCCAGCAGGAGCAGGAGAGTGACCACCCCAGTGCTGGGCACTGCTGAGGCACCTGAGTGCTCTGTCCAGCTCTGGGTCCCCCATGACAATGGAGACTGGAGGGGCTGGAGCGTGTCCAGAGAAGGGGATGGAGCTGGGGAAGAGTCTGGGGCACCAGGAGGGGCTGAGGGAGCTGGGCAGGGGCTCAGCCTGGAGCAAAGGAGGCTCAGGGGGCCCTTGTGGCTCTGCACAGCTCCTGCCAGGAGGGGACAGCCCCAGGCTGGGCTCTGCTCCAGGGAACAGGGACAGGAGCAGAGGGAATGGCCCCAGGCTGGGCCAGGGCAGGCTCAGGGTGGGCACCAGGAGGGAATTCTTCTCTGAAAGGGTGGTCAAACACTGGCACAGCTGCCCAGGGAGTCCCCATCCCTGGAGGTGTCCAAGGAAGGGCTGGAGGTGGCACTCAGAGCTCTGGGCTGGCTGACAAGGTGGGCATTGGTCAGAAGTGGACTTGATCTTGGAGGTCTTTTCCAACCCCAATGATTGTGTGGGTGAGGTTCAGTCCCTCCAGTCTTCTTGCCTTGAGCATGCCTGGGAGCAGGAAATGTCCTTTCTGAATTCCAGTGGCAATCTGGTGTCAGGACAAAGCCCCAGCCCGCTCACTGGCCTGGTGTGCCTCAGCTTTTTGCTCGCAGCACATCCCCTGTGCTGAGTTCAAAGGGCTGATCACAAGGGATGTGTGCTAAAATAAGCTTTTCCTTCATCCCCCGGGCTTAGGGGGATTCTAGGAATTCATGGTTCATGAGATATGTGGCCGTGGTGTCCATTTTTAGTGACCTTAAATGAAATTAAGGGCAACATGAAACATGTTTTTCAAAACTCCAGGGACAGTGACTCTGCTGCAAGCCCACAGGCTGGGCTCCCCTCGGGCCAACACAAACAGGGTCAGCCCCTGTCCCAAAGGGGTGACATCCCCCGGGCTGTGCCAGCAGCTGCAGGTGCCCCAGGGTGCTCCAGCTCAGAGTGGGGCTGTGGGAGCTGGCAGGAGCTGTCTGGGGAGGGTGGAGGGGGCTTCTGGCTTCACACAAGGCTTGTTGGCTTTGTTCTGCTGAGGGAAGGCTGGTCCTGCAGCCTTGGGTGGTGTCCATGCAGGGCAGAGAGCAAACAGGGCTTGCTCAACAGTGACAGATGACCTGAACAGTGAGAATAGCTCGGGGTGGAGGAGACCCTTCCTCTCCTGCACCAGGAGCTCCCTCTGTTCTGCCAAGTGCTGCCCTGCCAGCCATTGCCTGCCTGCTCTGTACCAGCCAAGCAGCGTGTTTGGGACTGGGAGACCTCCATCTAAAGCCCACCTTCCCAGTATCCTCCTGTGGAATTGCAGTCACACATGTCTGAGAACCTCCTTAGCATGGTGTAATGGGGCTTCTGCAGCTCCTCTTGGCAGCAAGGGCAGTGAACGTTGTGGGCAGCCAAAGCTGTATTCAAAGCTTAACTTGTGCAGTGTATTCATGATTTGAATTCATGAACCGTCCATCCCTGACCAGATTTGGGTGTTGTTCTTTCTGGTTAGTCTCTAATTTGCCATGTTTGTCACACTGAATTTCAGCCATGGCCTCTCATCCTGTCCTCCCTGAGCCATGCAGTGGTGTAAGCCACAAGAATTGCCATAATTCATCCTGATGAATCCTCATCCTCTTTTTCCTTCCCGTGGCCTTGCTCTCCACCCCACACAGAGCTGGTTTGGGTTCCTTCACCACTGTGCAGCTCTGCCCAGGCACTCTGTGAGCAGGAGCAGTGGGGCAGGTCCCTTCTGTGCTATCATTTGTTTGACATTCTGGTGAGAGTGAAGTGCTGGCTGTGGTTGTAACTGGCAGGAGAGCACGTTCCCAGTAAAGGAAACTTCCACCAAAGAAAAGCCTTCAAAATCCCAGAGTTACTAAAATTGGGAGAGAAGAGCAGGCCCTTTCTTTACACACTGTATATGGCAAAAAATGAACATGAATTGGTGAGCAGGCGGGAGTGTCGATCCCTTCCTTCCAAATATAGGGATGGGGCCGAACCAGGGGGACTAAGCTGAGCCTATAAAGGCTCAGGGAGAAAGCCCTTGGTGGCTCCTGTTGTCCTGCCCAAGCTGTGACTGACCTGCAGAGGGACAGAAGGCTCCTACCCCAGGTCCTGCTCCCCATGCTTGCAGCCTCACGGGGCTGTAGTTCTGTGGTGGGAATGCTGCTGTAGGTTCCCTGCTGGGCCATTCCTTGGGCAGGGAAGGAGTGGTCTCTGGTGGATTTTGCTGGCCCTCAAAAGGCACAGTAAACTGCAGTGAGAGGTGTTGGGCCTTTGGAGAGGCTGCAGCTCAGTTAAGTCTGACCTTTGACTCTTTTTCTTTCAGAGATACGAGATGTCAGCTGGTTCCTTCCTGCTTTCTGTTGGCTGATGGTTAAGGTGAGGATTTGAGGCATGAACACTAACAGCTTGCACAGGCTGGCATGAGCTGGCTTTTCCCCTGTGCCCACCATAGGCAGTCCCTGTTTTTCCCCCTCCATGAGCTCCTTTAAGCACATGTCCATTCCTGCCCACTGTGGCTGCTCACCAGAGGATTAGGACAGGTTCCATGTTAACAGAGAGTGGGGGAAGTAATAAATTAAAAACCAGAAGAAAAATAATCTTCAGGGCTTCACTTTTTCTAAGGACTACATGAATCCTTCAGATCTGACCACTTTCCTGGGGAGCCCTCCTCCTCCTTTGGACATTGATCTCCTTTCCTTGGGGCCATGGAGGGTGGTGGCTCTTCTCCACTGCCTCTGTACCCTCCAGCTTGGAAAAGCAAAATACTCCCTCAAGATCTCTCTGCCCTCGCCTGAGAGCTGGGAGGGGGGACCTTGGAGCAGCCAGCTGGGGGTGAATGTTCAGCTGCTCTCTGCCCTAAGCAGCACACTCCAGGGCTCCAGCAGATGCCCTGGCTCCCTAAGCAGGGCTCCAGGGGTCTCTGTCTTCCAGAGCCATGAGCAGAGACGCTGGCATGGAGATTTTTGGTGAGGCCGCGCCGTACCTGCGCAAATCCGAGAAGGAGAGAATAGAAGCCCAGAACCAACCTTTTGATGCCAAAACCTACTGCTTTGTGGCTGACCCCGAGGTGGAGTACACCAGGGGGAGGATCAAGGCTGCACAGGATGGGAAGATAACTGTTGAGACAGAGGATGGCAGAGTAAGTGCATTCCTTCTGGCCCTTCTCCAGCCCTGCTTAGGGAGCCAGGGCATCTGCTGGGGCCAAACTGGGGCAGCACCAGGCCAGCTCAGGCAGGAAATCTGCCCTGCCCTGTCCTCTGACTGGGACCAGCACAGCCTCCACAGGAAAGTATAGCTCTGGATGCTGGGATAATAGTGTTCATTTGATAATTATTCTTGGTTTGGGCTCTAAAAATCAGGCAATGGTCTAAACCAGGTTGGATCATAGCCTTGCCAGTCTTAACTTAGTTTTTAACACTTTCTCAGCTAACGCTGTCATAGCCACTCATAAATTCCTTCCTTTACTGGTAGCTGAGCAGACAGATAACTTTGCAAGTCGCCTTTGCATGTGAAATTGTCAGTGTCACTGGCTGCAGTTTCCCAGAGGAGCAGCCATGGTGTTAATCTTCCAAAAGGCTGAAATGTCTTAGCAGCTTGTGCCCTGACACCTTTTGTAAGAATAACTGCAACAGCTCAAAGAACAACCATGACCAACATCTTGGCAGTAGGTGCTACCAGGCTTTTAGAAAGCAGTGGCTGAGTTAAGCTGCTGCCAGCTGTGAACATCTGCCACCCCCACAACAAATCCACGCGCTCTGGCAGTGGGACAGGATGGTTCCCCACAGTGTGAGCCCAGCAGACGGTGCTGTTTGGTAGAGACAGAGCCTTTCTTTCATTGGGAATGGCCACAGGCAGGAGTGGAACAAGTCTGTCCCAAGGATGGATTTGCTGTTGATGAGTCCTGTGCTGTTTGTGTCCCAGCTCTCTGGCACTGTCATGGGAGGTTGGCTGGCCAGAAGATGCACCCCAGGTTCTTACAGCCAGGAGCAGCAAAGACCTAAAGTTTATAAGCAGTGATAATGTGTTGAAAGATCTGTTCCAGCCCAAATCATGTCTGTGTGGTCCCAGCAATTCCAGGAAATTTACACCCTGTCAATGTACCCGTGTTGTGGATTTCCTGGCTGACTGCAGTGTTTGCCCTGAAATAGCCATATTTTGCTTAGCACAGTTAAACAGAAAGAAAAATATGAATTAGAGCAGCCTTAGAGATGTTATTACTTTTCTGTGGTTGTGGAAGGACTGTCAAGAATTGCTGAACCAAAGTTGGCTCTTTTTTTCTGGGTTATAGACAGTTGCTGTCAAACCTGATGATGTGTATGCCATGAACCCACCCAAGTTTGACAGAGTTGAGGACGTGGCCATGCTGACCCACCTGCACGAACCTGCCGTCCTCTACAACCTCAAGGACCGCTACAGCTCCTGGATGATCTATGTAAGTTCCTTCTTCTGGCAAAGGAGGAAGCACAGCTGCGGGAGCTGGACTTCAGTGCCACCCCTGTTTTTTCCCTGCAGACCTACTCGGGTCTCTTCTGCGTCACCGTCAACCCCTACAAGTGGCTGCCGGTGTACAACCCCGAGGTGGTGTTGGCCTACCGAGGCAAGAAGCGCCAGGAGGCCCCTCCACACATCTTCTCCATCTCTGACAACGCCTATCAGTTCATGCTGACTGGTGAGTGGCTCTGTTTTGACCAGACTTGGAGTAAAAAAGTGTGTCAGACCTGCTGCCTCTGCCAAATGCCATTCCATACTGCCATGGTTCAGTCGCCTGGGCCAACCCTTGCAGAGTGCTTGGTCTGTGGGACATTGCAGATTATCTGCTTGGTTTTTATTATCAGCCAGCTCCAGACAGTTTTCCCCACCTCCTGGAATATTTTCTTTATTCTTGAAGCAGTGTGCTGTTGTGCTTGCACATTATCTGTATTTCTGGTCGAAGTACTAAGCTAAGCAGCCTAAAAGAGAGCCCTGCAAAGGGCAGCTGCACTAGGACAGAACACACGATCTGGGAAGTCCCTGGGCAGCACACCTGCATGGGGCTTCAAGGAACAGCAGGTAGATCCAGAACAGAGCTGATAGAAATATTATCACCAAAACACATCGTTTTAATTTGAGTAAATTCCTGTCCCATATTTAATAGTATGAAAGGTAAAGAATGGAAAAGACAGAAGCAAAAACAAACAAGGACAAGCAAAGGAGGAGAAGACAAAAAGTGGACTATAAGGGAGGGACGGAGAGATGGAGAGCAGACCATGCACATTTTCAGTTTTCCCTGCAGAGATTTTGTTTCATTCCCCCAATGGACACCAGGTCACAGCTAGCTGAGAACCAGCACTTTCCCTACAGCTTCTCTGACTCCAGGTATTTTTCCCTCCAACAGATCGTGAAAACCAGTCTATCCTGATCACGTAAGTGCATCTGCCACTTGCCTCCAACAAGAGGTGTGTAGCCACATTTCTCTTCACAGAGAAAAGCAAGGCACAATTCTTCCCAAGAATATTTCTGGGTTTCACATTCTCTGAAGCTCAGAGAAAGGAAAAACAATTCTTATCATTTGCTGTGCCTGTGTTGTGCCGAAGTAGAATGCAATATGGAGATGGTTTACCCACAGTGATGGTGTTTTGTTTCCTTGGACTATCAGGGCCAGGTGTGTGTGTGTGTCAGGACTGTGGGCTAACAGTCACAAGATTCTGTGCAGGGTTGAGTTCTTGGCAGATTCAGTTTAGATGTAATATAACATAGTATAATAATTAATTAGCCTTCTGATAAAGTGATTGATTAGCCTTCAGTGCGGTGCAGTGCAGTTGTGTGCAGGGTTGAGTGCTTGGCAGATTCAGTTTGGATGTAGTGTAATATGGTGTAATATAGTATAGAATAATATAGTATAATAAAGTAATTAATTAGCCTTCTGATAAAGTGATTAATTAGCCTTCAGTGCAGTGCAGTTGTGTGCTTGGCAGATTCAGTTTAGATGTAACGTAATATAATATAATATGGCATAGAATAATATAGTATAATAAAGTAATTAATTAGCCTTATAAGATGGAGTCCTCCTCACCATTCCTCCCTGCCCTGGGGATCCCTACAAATACTATAGAGGTGGGCAGGTTATTCTTCACTCTGAGCCTTCTTCCTGCAGTGGGGAGTCGGGGGCCGGCAAGACGGTGAACACCAAGCGCGTCATCCAGTACTACGCCACCATCGCCGCCAGCGGGGACACGGCCTCCAAGAAGGAGCCCCTGATGAAGGTGTGAGGAGGAAGGGCTTGGTGAAGGGCAGTTCAGGATGTCATCCCCCTGTGGACAGCACTGGTGACACACGCTTACCTCAGAATGTCTTTTATTAGATTCAGCCACTCTTTGAAGGACAGTAGGACCAGGGGCTGATGTGCAGTTAGGACCACAACAAACACCAGAGCTGCCACTGCCAAGGTGTAGCTTTACCTGGGCTGAAACAGGACTGGTGCCCAGGAAGAATCAGAGGCTTCAGTTTCTTAGCATGGATCAATTTGTCCCTGTGGCTGAGACCTGAGAGCTCTGACTGTGGGAGAAATTCTGAATAAGAGGAAGATGAGTTATTTGTTGTTTACCCCCAGTGCTGGTTCTTGGTGCTGGAGTTGAGAAGGTGCAGCAGTAGCACTGCAGAGCTGAAATGAAGTGCACAGAGCTGCACATGTAATCATTCCTTAGAGCCACTTCTTCCTACCACATAGCTCATGGTGTTTTTCAGTAATTATTCAATTATTCCTGCAGGGTTCGCTCAAGGATCAAATCCTCAGTGCCAACCCACTGCTGGAGGCCTTTGGGAATGCCAAGACCGTGAGAAACGACAACTCCTCACGCTTTGTGAGTCACCCTGTGTCTGTCCCTCTGCCCTCCTGTGTTTCTAATGTTCTTTACCTGCTTGTTAGCTGTGACTGAATCCCCCTTTACCCCCCGCTGCAGGCTGGGAAAAATATTCTTGCTAACCAATTTCTAGGTTTTTATGAAATGCTGATGTGTTAGCAGCTGTTTCGTGCTCACCTTGCTGCAGCAAAGTGTTCCCCTTTATCTATCTTTATCTATGAAAGCTAATCAGGCCGATCTGGTGATGCTGTCACTAAGACTGAAGAGATTAAAACATTCAGAGATTGCTGCACTGACCACCACTTTTGTCTGCTTGCCAGGGTAAATTCATCCGTATCCATTTTGGAACCTCTGGAAAGCTGGCCTCTGGTGACATTGAGACCTGTGAGTAACTGAGGGGGGCTGACAGCCTTGCTAGAATATAAAAATCCTGAAAAATGTCTAAAATGTGAATATACATTACAGACTTGCTGGAAAAGTCAAGAGTCACTTTCCAGCTGAAAGCTGAGAGAAGCTACCATATCTTCTACCAGATCCTCTCCAATAAGAAGCCTGAACTGCTTGGTAAGGACAGCCACCACCTGGTGGCACTGAGTAAAGTCAGCATGGCAAACATTTCCCTCTGTGCGCCAGCTCGGTGACAGAGGGTCCAGTGGCACAATGCCCTGTGTCCCTGCAGAGCAGGGATCAGGTGCTGATTTATGTCCTCAGCATTGCAGCCTCGGCCCTGCCCAGGTTCCCCAAGCTGTACTTGTGTCTTTGCATTACACCAGGGCTTTACTCCACCTCCATTTATCCTCCCTGAGTAAGTTCTAACACAAACTGTGTGCAGGTGAGAAGCAGGGGTGACCAATATACTCTGCCTTGCACCTTGCTATTATCCATGGTGTGGAAATTCCAACTTAGGTGGGCCAGATCCTGTGAATAATCTTCAATAAGAAAGGTAAGCAATTCTGGGTGCAGGATGGGCAGATACCCTGATCTCCAAACCATTCATCTGAGCTTTTCATCCCATGGGCAAAGGTCATTTCCTGTTTCCAGTGCAACCCCTCTGACCTTTTCCCCCTTCCCACTGCCACAGCACTCTCTACCCATGCCCCACATCTGTCTCTTTGGCCACACACTCATCCTTAGTCCACTCTGCCCATCCTTTCCAGCTCTCCACAGAGCATTTCCCAAGGTGGAGCTCCTGCTCTGTGTGTGTCATGTATGAGGATAAGCACAAATGAGCCTTATCTGAAAGCCTCTTTCTTAAAAGCTGTTTCTGTGGATGGCCTGTGTTCTGTGCCTGCTGAGTGCTCAGCTCTCAGTTCACAATATTAAACTGGAAGGATTGCTCAGCCAGGGAAGGCAGATGAAAGGCTTTGCTCTATCTTTCTGGTCTCTTAATAGAAAACCAGGAGTTTGGGATGCAAGAGGAAGGAGAGCCTGTGAAACCTTGCTGAGCCATTATTCCATCTCCCTGCCAGGCTCTGGCTCTCACTCCTGTGTTTGTCTTTCAGAGATGCTCCTTGTCACAGCCAACCCCTATGATTACCCCTTCATCAGCCAAGGGCAGATCTCTGTGGCCAGTATTGATGACCAGGAGGAGCTTCTTGCCACAGATGTGAGTACAGTTGGCAAGAAGAGACTTCTACAGTCTCAGTTGACTCTCACCACTGTTAAACCCAGCTGATCTGTCTGGTGTGCAGGCAGCCATTGACACTTTGGGCTTCAGCCCTGATGAGAGGATGGGGATTTACAAGCTGACAGGGGCCATCCTGCACTATGGGAACATGAAATTCAAGCAGAAACCACGTGAAGAGCAGGCAGAGCCTGATGGCACAGAAGGTAATTCCTCCCTGGCTGGGAGAGGAGTATTTCTAACTGTTTCCATGCCATTTTTCACTGGAAATGGAGGAAGTCTTCCAGGAGAGATGTCACTATTCCTTGATAAGCATAAAAAGGAGGTTTGATTTTCAACTTACTGCATCAAATAGAGGCACTTTGTGCATCCAGTTTATTCCTGATGACTCTGCTGTAGGACCCAGTGCCTGGGGCACATCACTGTAGTGTTCTCCAGTTCCTGATTACACATACACACTTGTTCTGCCTGGGTGACATCATGGAGAAGTGGCTTGATGGGGAAAAAGTCTGTGTTGTCCCATCAACAGTGCCCTCCTGGGTTTCACCACATCTGATGGGGCTGCTGTAGCCACTCTGTCACGAGGACCAGTCCTACAAGGCTGTTCAGAAAAGTAAAGGAGAACGTTAGCCAAGATTTGTGGATGGGGTAAAGCCAATCAAGTTGCAAGGTTCAGAGTGAGCTCTGGCTGGTTTCAATGCCCTGTGTGTGTCTGAGCTAAGAAGAAAGTATTTCAAATTATTCTTTTGTTTTCCAGAGGCTGACAAAGCAGCATATCTGATGGGCCTGAACTCTGCAGACTTGCTGAAAGCTCTGTGCTATCCCCGGGTGAAAGTGGGAAATGAATATGTGCTGAAGGGCCAGACAGTGGATCAGGTGAGCATCAAGGAGCAGCAGGGACCATCCTCTCCCTAAGGAAAAGGAATGGTGCAGGTCACTGTCACCATCATATTTTCTGAAAAATCCCTTTGCCAGGATTTCTTCTCCTGGGAAGCTGAGAAGCCTCAGAGTAAAATGAAAACAATAATTATCTCATTTGCTTCTCCTGTGTTTTGCTGCTTTGGAATGTGGTTTGGACATTGTTTACCAACTGGTCATTGTTTGATTGGTTTCATGTGAATTGGTTTGACTTAATGACCAATCACAGTCCAGCTGTGTTGGGGCTCTGGAGAGAGTCACTAGTTTTTCTTTAGCATCTTTTAGCCTTTTGTCTGTATCCTTTCTCTATTCTTTAGTGTAACATAACATAACATAACATAACATAACATAACAATCAGTCTTCTAAGAACATGGAGTCAGATTCATAATTTCCTTCCCTCGTTTGGGGATCCTGAAAATACCACAGGTCACAGCTGTGAATGGTCCATGGGGCCATGAAGACCTGTTAGTGCAGTGTGTGTGGGCATGGTGAGGGGTGCTTTGTTCTGGGGGTGCACTGGCAGTGCCCTGACACAGGTGTGGGACATCTCCCTGCAGGTGCACCAGGCAGTGAATGCCCTTGCCAAGTCTGTCTATGAGAAACTCTTCCTGTGGATGGTTGTTCGCATCAACCAGCAGCTGGACACGAAGCTGCCAAGACAGCACTTCATTGGGGTCTTGGACATTGCTGGCTTTGAGATCTTTGAGGTTTGCAGTACTCTCAGACTTCTGCCTGTCTCTAAATGCTTTTTCAGTTTGTTTGTCTTCTCTGACCTTTCCTCCTCCTCCTCACCCCAGTGCAGCCCTCAAGCAAATCTGTCTGAAGCTGCTTCTTCCTTTGTAGATCCATCACCCACTTTGTAAGAGAAGAGAAAGGGCAGAAGCAGTGCCATGAAGCTGCTTTCTCTCTCTCCCCACAGAGTCTGTATTTATGGACATTAGGGCCACCCAAACATGGCCAATGCAAGCTGCAGCAATCATGTGCTGCGCTGCACAACTTTTCTGTAAGCCTGGACACCTGTGGTATATTCTTTACACTGTTATCAAAACCTTTTTGGGTCAGTCTGGCTAACCTTGCTATGACATCCCTGTGAAAAAAAATTGATCAGAGGCACTATTAACACTTTAACACTATTAACACACATTCAAATATTAGTTCAACAGCTTTGAGCAGCTGTGCATCAACTTCACCAATGAGAAACTGCAGCAGTTCTTCAACCACCACATGTTCGTGCTGGAGCAGGAGGAGTACAAGAAGGAGGGGATTGAATGGACATTCATTGACTTTGGCATGGACCTGGCTGACTGCATTGAGCTCATAGAAAAGGTGAGTTTCTTAAGCATCTTGTGCAATCACAGAAATTGAATCTGTAGAGGGTTCTTGAGAGTGTTTGCTCTGATTACCTTCAATACAATCTCTCTGGGAAGCTTTTGGGTCTCTTCACCTCCTCTGTTTCTTTAAATATTACCCATGTGTGTAATTAATTATCCACTGACTGGGAATGTATCCTGTCTTCTAAAAAGACACTGATTTTAACCTTCCTTTCCTTCCTTCCTCCCTTCCTCCCGTCCTGTCCTGTCCTGTCCTTGTGTATTGGTTCCCCTCAGGTTTTCTCTCAGTTAAATTGAAATCCCAGAAAACCTCATGTCTGCTTCCTTTATGTTCCTTCTGAGTTAGAAGTCACTACTGTATTCTGAGAAGTTACTGCACAGTTTTTGCCTGACTTCACTTGTTTTCCACACACTGTCTGGGTAGTTCAAAACTGTATGTTAAAATTTATGAGTTCTTTTAAGTATCTTGCCAGCTCACAAAAATCTTGCTTACCTGCTCTTCCCAGGATAATTCTCTATAAAATACCTCCAGTACTTCAAATTTAGCATGTCTTTCACTCTGCATTATTATAGAGATATATTATTGATTTGATCTTATTTGAAAACACCATTTTTTTGTTCAGCCCATGGGCATTTTCTCCATCCTGGAAGAGGAGTGCATGTTCCCCAAGGCAACTGACACCTCTTTCAAGAACAAGCTCTATGACCAGCACCTGGGCAAGTCCAGCAGCTTCCAGAAGCCCAAGCCAGGCAAAGGCAAGGCTGAGGCCCACTTCTCCCTGGTGCACTATGCTGGCACAGTGGACTACAACATCACTGGGTGGCTGGAGAAGAACAAGGACCCTCTGAATGAAACTGTCGTGGGGTTGTACCAGAAATCGTCTATGAAAATTTTATGCCATCTTTATGCCAGTTTTGCTTCCATAGATGAAGGTAAGTTTGGAGGATTATGTTTCCAGTTTGGGGTTTCCTACTGCACCTCTCACCTGACGTGGATCAGGGTTGAGTCAGTGCTTGAGTGCTGTGTGTTAAATGCACAATTATAACACTGTCAAAGGGATTTGCAGCAGTTCCTCAGCTGGACTGTCATCTCATTTTCCAGCTGAAGGTGGTGGGAAGAAGAAAGGAGCCAAGAAGAAGGGCTCTTCCTTCCAAACTGTCTCTGTACTCTTTCGGGTAAGTGTGTTCTCTGGCAGAGACTGTCACACCTGGCTCCACAGCCATGCTTTCATTTTAAAATAGGAGGGAAGTTCTTCAGTAGTAGCCATTTACTTTGGTGATGCCTACACAGAATTGTAGAATATTCACTAGGAGAGTAAGGAGAAAGTTCTGAATTTTTGCTGTTCAGCAGAGTCAAATTACTCTGAGAACTGAGACAATATAGAGATTAGAAATGATCTCTGCTTTACAGGAAAATCTGAATAAGCTGATGTCTAACTTACGAACAACTCACCCTCACTTTGTGCGTTGCATCATTCCCAATGAAACAAAGACCCCAGGTAATTCCTAAAACATAGACTAGAAAGAGGCAGAAGGAGCAATGCTAGAACAATCAGTGTGTCCCCATGCTGCTCTGTCACAGGCCTGATGGATCACAAGCTTGTTCTGCACCAGCTGCGATGCAATGGTGTTCTGGAGGGCATTAGGATCTGCAGGAAAGGATTTCCTAACAAGATACCATATGGGGATTTCAAACAAAGGTCAGTAGTAACATTCTTGTGTTTGCATTGAGCCAAACTCATTTGAAAGAAGACTCTTGCTAAACCAGTCCATGATTCAGTTGTTAGGAAAAGACTATTTTAATATTTAACACACATGGAAAGCAAAAGACATATCTAATAGCATGGTCTGTGTGGGCAGTGCCCACCCAGATGCCTTCCTCAATACTGTATGCCAAAACCTATTTTTAATTCATTCCTGTTAATTTAAATGTTTGGATATTCCTTGCTTTAATTCTCAAATCAGGCACAAGCATGTTTTAGCAAAAATACAGAGGGTGGTCTATGCACATTCTGTATTTAACTGCTGCCTAGTAGAGGCTTGAAGAGTGTGGTTTAAATAATTCTAAATATAATGGTTTTGTAAAGAGGAAACAGTGTTAAATCCAATGCTACTTCTTGATGAAATGCTAAGTTTGACTGGCAAATAGAGCTGCAGTAACAGAAGGACTCCAACAGTAAATCCAAGTTAGTTCCACATGACCCTGTCATTTTGTAGTGGGTTAATATTTCTACATGCTAACATTTCTACAGCATTAGCAGATTCATTTATAGATAAAACCCCACAAGCAAAAAAATCTTATCATGGGAACTGCTGCAAATAAGACATTTATAAATTCAGGGCAACCCAGCTGTGGTCATCTGCTTGTTGTGTTAGAACAAAGGCAAATGTAGGGTCAGATCTCTAAGAACAAAGCAATCACCCCTTCCTTACAACTCTGTGCAGGGTGTGCTGGAGAGCAAGGCACTGAGAAGGGCTGAAATGGTGTTTTGGGTGCTACCTGAAGGCATTGTCCCAGCCATTGATGTGGGAGGGCAGATTTGTGTATCAATGCTGAAAATAGGTATGGAATAATCTCTCAGTGTAGGATTAGGAAGTCCATTTCTGGATCCAAAGTCTAATTCTGGGTTACATGGTTCAGGAGGAATGTGAGAAGCTGGATATGGTCCAGAAAAGCAGTTTCCCTACTCTTAAAATCCATCAATTTTTTAAATTTTCAGCTAACCCAATGAGCTGGACTCCCAGAGTAGTGACAATGACTGTGACACAAATGAGCAGAGTCTCTCAGGTCCAGAGAACAGACTGTGCATGCCCTCAGTCTCAGTAAGGGCTGTAATACATCCTTGGTACCTACTGAACTGACCTGCTCCTGTTTGCTGCTTTCCTTACTGCTTTGCTATTTGAGGCTGGAGGTGTGAGTCAGACTCAGCCTTCCTCTGTATCTTCAAACTGACAGCTGTTCTTGTGGCATCCTGTGCACTAGAATGGCACTGATGGGTGAGCTTTTTCCTTTATTTTATCAGATACCACCTTCTGAATGCCAGTGTCATTCCAGAAGGAAAGTTTGTTGATAGCAGGAAAGTGTGTGAAAAGCTGCTGTCCTCCATTGAGATAGATCATACTCAGTACAAATTCGGACACACTAAGGTAAATGTTTAATTTTGCCTCAAAATAGGATAAGAAAACATTCATTGCATTGAAATGTAAACCCAGCAAGGAGTGATGTCTGTTCTTTGGCTGCAGGTGTTCTTCAAGACAGGTTTGCTGGGTCCTGGAAGAGATGAGAGATGAACGTTTAGGACAGATGATCACACGGACCCAGGCTTTGTGCAGGGGATACCTCCGGAGACTTGAGCTGAAAAAAATGTTTGACCACAGGTGTGTGTCCTCTGCCAGGTCTGGTTGCTCAAAGATGGGCTTTATTTACTGATGGATCACTCTGGTTTCAGGGAGTCCATCCTCTGCATCCAGTACAACATCCGTGCATTCATGAAAGTCAAGCAGTGGCCCTGGATGAAGCTGTACTTCAAGTTTAAACCCCTCTTAAAAAGTGTGGGAACTGAGAAAGAGCTGGCCATGATGAAGGAAGAGTTTGAGAGAACAAAAGAAGAACTGGCCAAATCAGAAGCCACCAGGAGCAAACTGGAAGAAAAAATGGTGGCTCTGGTGCAAGAGAAAAAGGACCTACAGCTGCAAGTACAAACTGTAAGTAAATTAAATAATTTTTGGCTCTTCAGATTACGTCAGTTTTGTTTGAGTGTTCAGTAAAGGGCTGAAAGGAAATTCTGTTATTTCATGTACCAGCCACTTAATAAGCAAGGTGATTTATGCAAGTGTCAGTGCCAATGTGTGATAATGAAACACATTTCTTTTCTCTGTAAAAAGGAAAATGAAAATTTGGCTGATGCTGAAGAAAGATGCGACCAGCTGATCAAACTAAAATTCCAGCTGGAAGCAAGAATAAAGGAGGTAATGGAAAAGCTGGGAGATGATGAGGAGATGAATGCTGATCTGGCAGCCAGAAAGAGGAAACTGGAGGATGAATGCTCTGAGCTGAAGAAAGATATGGATGACCTTGAGTTAACATTGGTCAAGGCTGAAAAGGAAAAGCATGCCACTGAAAACAAGGTGCTTTTTACTTCTGCAATGTTTAATAACAGTAGCTCTGTGGATGTATAGGCTGTAAAGATTCAGTAAACTTGAATGCTTACATGCTGCTGTGTAAGGAGATCTATGGGCCTGGTATTGAACATGGGCACCTCTGTTGGGCAGGGAAACCAACCCATAAGCATGCAAAAATGCATTAAAATTAAAGTTCAGCATTTCTTTGTGACTTCTGAAGGGTTGATATATAAGCAGAGAGATTGTAGAGTGTGACCATAAAGTGGTCAAAGCCTCTTTGGGAGTCTAAGAGCAAGTTCATTGTATTCATGGCCAATGTCAGGGCCAAAATTATTAGTGACCTTGAGCTATTTTGCTTTACAATAGGTCAAAAATCTGACTGAAGTAGTGACAGGTTTGGATGAGACTGTTGCAAAGTTAGTCAAGGAGAAGAAGGCCCTGCAAGAAGCCCAGCAACAGGCACTGGACGACCTGCAAATAGAGGAGGAGAAAGTTAATACCCTCACCAAAGCTAGGATCAAGCTGGAGCAGCAAGTGAACCATGTGAGCATGTTCAACACAAGGAGAAGGAGCAGATCCTTCAGTTGTTCCATCAGTCATGTTTATATATGTTTATGTTGCAGGTTGAAGGATCTTTGGAACTCGAAAGAAAAGCATGTATGGACCTTGAACGAGCAAAGAGAAAGCTTGAGGGAGACTTGAAACTTGCACAGGAAACCATAGTAGATCTGGAGAATGATAAACAACATTTAGATGAAAGATTAAGGAAGTATGAGAAATAAATTAGTACATAATTTATTATTTGGCTTTAACTGGACTTATTTTCTTTTAATAAAATATCTCCTTCACAGGAAAGACTTTCATTTTAACCAGATGCAAAATAAAATTGCGGAACAGCAAAATTCAGGTACTCACTTGCAGAAGAAGATCAGAGAATTGCAGGCAAGAGACTTTACTTCATCATTACTGTTTGCTTGTTTTAAACTGTAGTACCATGAATAATGCTTGTCCACAGTTTGGCATTGGCTCCCTCAGACACAGGGGAAGCTTCAGCAGCTTCTCATAGAAGCCATCCCTGTATCCCCCCACTACCAAAATGTGGTAGTGGGGGGGGATACAGAGATGCAAACCCAATACAACAACAGAAAGCTGTGATCCAAAGCAAGAATGAGTTGATCCATAGGTCCTTTCTGTCAGTAAGTCTTTACCTACAATGCCAAAAGAGTGAAATTTGAAGGAAGTTTGTTTTGCTTACAGTCTCCAAAACAAGGTTCTTGGCGTTCTACTGTGAAAAATCTGCAATAACCTAAGCACTGAATGCTCTCTTCCCTATTTAATTCCTGGTGTGCTATTCCCTCGTTGTCCAGGCTCGTGCTGCAGAGCTGGAAGAGGAGACCATGAGCGAGAAAGCAACACGGACAAAAGCAGAGAAGCGTTGTGCTGAGCTGGCTCGGGAGCTTGAGGAAACCCGTGGGAGCCTTGAAGAGGCTGGAGGAGCCACCACCGCTCAAACAGAGCTCAGCAAGAAGCGTGAGGCAGAGTTCCAGAAGATGCGCCGTGACCTGGAAGAGGCCACGCTGCAGCACGAAGCCACGGCTGCCGCCCTGCGCAAGAAGCACGCGGACAGCACAGCTGAGCTGGGCGAGCAGATCGACAACCTGCAACGCGTGAAGCAGAAGCTGGAGAAGGAGAAGAGTGAGATGAAAATGGAGATTGATGACTTGGCCAGCAACATAGAATCTGTCTCCAAAGCAAAGGTACACAATTATTTTTATTCGGAATTTGATAGCAATGTGGTATTTTTTCTTTAATCTTATATGATTTAATTTTTATCAGCATGTATCAGAAATGGTTTCTCTAAATCTCATATGTAGAAGTTTGAGTGAATGTACAGTCCCAAGATGTCAACTGCATCTTCTGGACATATTTTCCTGCTAAAAAAAGGCAGGATCAAGGTATTTACTCTTTTTTTCTAATGTGCAATTGATATTTAGGCAAATCTGGAGAAGATGTGTCGCACTCTGGAAGACCAGCTGAGCGAATATAAAACAAAGGAGGAGCAGAATCAGCGCATGATTAGCGATCTTAGTGCTCAAAGAGCTCGTCTGCAGACAGAATCTGGTATGGCCCTTCCATCTGTAATTTGGAAATGGGAGAACCCCATAAATTGCTCTCTTGGCTCTTAAAATTTTGTCTCAATTGCAAACTTTTTCAGGTGAATATGGACGCCAGGTGGAAGAAAAAGATGCTTTAATTTCTCAGCTGTCTAGAGGGAAACAGGCCTTCACCCAGCAGATTGAAGAACTGAAGCGGCAGCTAGAGGAAGAGATAAAGGTGAAGATACTCACATTACATATGAAATTAATATTTGACATAATATTGGTTTTTGTGAATTGTTCAGGGCTTCAAAAGGTGCTCCAATTAAAAGTTCAAACCATGCCCTTAGATGACGCACTCTGAGCCCTTGCAGTGCAGGACTCCCATTTTATGAGGCAGTCAGTTAACCTCTATCTCTTTGGGAGGTTTATCAGTGCATAAGTACCAGTGAGAGAAATTTCCCAGGAAACACCAACTCCTTATCGCCATATTTTCGCCACCAGGCCAAGAATGCCCTGGTCCACGCCCTGCAGTCCGCTCGCCACGACTGTGACTTGCTCCGGGAACAATATGAGGAGGAGCAGGAGGCCAAGGGGGAGCTGCAGCGAGCCCTGTCCAAGGCCAACAGTGAAGTGGCCCAGTGGAGAACCAAATATGAGACGGACGCGATTCAGCGCACGGAGGAGCTCGAGGAGGCCAAGTACAGATGAGATGAGCTGCCCAGATGTATATTGGGCAGAACATAGACCCACTTTTAGTAACCTGACCTAAATTTCTTTTTTTTTGAGTTTGCATATAGTCTTAATTAAAATGAGACACATAGTGTAATGATTTTTTTAATCATATGCTTGTTTTATTTATGTACCTTAAGGAAAAAGCTCTCTCAGCGTCTCCAGGAAGCAGGGCAGCAGGCAGACACACTGAATTCCAAGTGTGCCTCCTTGGAGAAGATGAAGTTTAAGCTGCAGGGGGAAGTGGAAGATCTGACACTGGACATAGAGAGAGCAAACACATCAGCAGCTGCCCTTGACAGAAAACAGCAGAATTTTGATAAGGTCATAAATGAGCACAGTATCTTTTAAGTAGCCTCCCAGAAAACCAAACTAACACTCTGTACATCAGTCAGTGCTGAAGTCAAAGTGAATCTAACTAGAGCCTCTAGGGCATGGCAGTAGGAATTTGTCCTGGTTTAAGAGACTGCATTATTTATCTAGTACAAAATGTAGTCAGAGATCAAATAACATTTTCAGTACCAGCAGGAAATGAAGCATGATAGCCTCTCCTCTGAGGAAAGGCTGACAGAATTGGGATTGTTCAGCCTAGAGAAGAGAAGCTTCAGGGTGAACTAATTGTGGCCTTCCAGTGCCTGAGGGGAGCTACGAGAAAGATGGAGAGAAATTGTTTGCAAGGGCCTGGAGTGACAGGACAAGGGGGAATGTCTTTACACTGACGGAGAGTAGGTTTAGATTGGATATTAGGATTAAATTCTTCCCTGTTAGGGTGGGTAGACCCTGACACAGGCTGCCTAGAGAAGCTGTGGGTGCCCCCCATCCCTGGAAGTGTCCCAAGGCTAGGTTGGAGAGGGCTTGGAGCAACCTGGGATGGTGGAAGGTGTCCCTGCCATGGCAGGGGATTTGGAACTAGGTGATCTTTGATATCCCTTCCAACCCAAAGCGTTCTATGATTCTATGATGTCTTCCAGGTCATGGCAGAATGGAAGGGGAAGTATGAGGAGAGCCAGCTGGAGCGGGAAGCTGTCTCTAAAGAAGCTGGCTCACTGCACACAGAGCTTTTCAAAGTGAAAAATGCCTATGAGGAAACCTTGGATCAGCTCGAGACAATCAAGCGGGAGAACGCCGCTCACCAGCGTACGTGTTGGGCTCTGTGTCCCATCAGCTTTCACACACCAACCACAGCAAGGTGTGCTCCACCAGCACACTCATGCCTGCAGGAGGGCACCCAGGGACAGCACTCTGCCCTTCCTGTGCTCTCCATCTTAATGCAGAATATCATTGCCTTACCAAAAGTTGTCAAGCATGTTTGTAAAGTGATTAAGAAAATAAAGCAAATGTCCTGGCTCTCTCATCTGCTGCAGACATTGAGGTGCCATTGCCAGGCAAAGGTAGTGACTGTGGGAGACTGAGCAGCTCATGAGAGTGAGTTTTACAGATGGACTGAACACAATGACAGGACCTGTATTAGACCCTGATGGCCTATCCATAGATATAACACATGCAGGGGCCTTCCAGGCTCTCTGTAAGGAGGGCTGTTAAACCACACCAATGCCCCACTTGGCCTGCATGAGTTGGTTGTGTCTGGTTTTATCTGTACATATTTACAGACACATGTACCATTGTGTACATATGTACATTTTTGTATACATATTTATGTGTGCAAAAGGGGTGCTGACTGCAGCAACAAAGCACAGAGTTCAGCTCCTCTGGTTGATGCCATTCTTCTCTCACAGAGGAAGCAGCTGATCTCACAGAGCAAATTACTGCAAATGGCAAAATGATCAGAGACCTTGAGAAAGCCAAAAAGCAAGCTGAAATAGAAAAAAATGGTCTGCAAACAGCTCTGGAGGAGGCAGAGGTGAGTTAGTTTAAATATTACCATAAATTGTAAAGAGAATGCTGAGCAGCTTTCTGTTCCCTTTTCTGGCAGTAGCTGTGTGCAAGGTTGATTGAAACAAACTTTAGGAAGTTCTGTGAAATCACGGAGTACCATCTCAATAATCATGTTCTCTAAAATGTTCATCTTTGTTTTTCCCTTTTCTCTTTTAAAGGCAGCTCTTGAGCATGAAGAAGTCAAAATCCTTGGTGTCAACCAAGAACTGACTCAAATAAAGTCAGAAATCAGCAGAAAGATTGCTGACAAGGATGAGGAGATCAACCAGCTGAAAAAGAACCAAGAAAGGACTGTGGAGACAATGCAGAGTGTTTTGGATGCTGAGATCAGGAGCAGGAATGAAGCCCTGAGGCTGAAGAAGAAGATGGAGGGAGACCTGAATGAAATGGAGATCCAGCTGAGCCATGCCAACCACCAGGCTGCAGAGGCACAGAAACACCTGCACAGCATCCAGGGAGCTCTCAAGGTCTTGCTTTACCTTATGGTTGATTTATTTTTTAAGCACAGTATTCGAGAAATTCATTAGGTCAAAAATGGCTCTTCAAATACAGGACACCCAGATCCATCTGGATGATGCTGTGAGAGCACAGGATGACCTGAAGGAGCAGGTGGCCATGGTGGAGCGCAGAGCAAACCTGCTGCAGGCTGAAGTTGAGGAGCTCCGGGCAGCCCTGGAGCAGACGGAGCGGTCGAGGAAATTGGCTGAGCAGGAGCTTCTGGATGCCACTGAACGTGCACAGCTCCTCCACTCCCAGGTAGTTGGCTTTGCTAAGACTGATGTATTATGGGGACCAGAGATTGATGGAGGAAGAAGGAATTGATGAGTTGATCTCAATGTGTAGACACTCAAAGCCTCTCTCTCTCTACTTCATAGAACACCAGCCTTTTTAATACAAAGAAGAAGCTTGAGACCGATATGGCACAACTCCAAACAGAGATAGAGGATGTTAATAATGAAGCAAAAAGTGCTGAAGAAAGAGCTAAGAAGGCAATGACAGATGTGAGGATGTTGCTGTGGTTTTCACTTTGAATTTTCAAGGCTTCCAGCAGTGTTGCTGCTGGAGGTTAACGTAAATACTCTTGTCACATGTTGGACAAGGAACCATCTGTGAGCCTGGTTGAAAAGGCTTTCAGTCAGAGGAGGATTAGAGCAACAGGGAACATGTCCTGCTGACAGATGGGGCTGTTGCCATCATAAAGAACTAAACCTACATTTAGTCAAAAACAAAATAACTTTCCTCAGTGCTGCATGAAAACATAATCCACAAAGAAATCCTGCAGTATTGAAACCAGTAAAGTGGCTAAGGTATCTTAATAGTTATCTTTGAAAAATCCTATTTATCAAGTTTTTAAATGAGAATTGTAAATTTCCATTCAAAATTGGTGTTAAATCCTCCCATGCAAGACCTGTGAAGCTCAGCCAGGCAAGAGGACTGGTGTGTCATGGGACCCAATCTGCTAATGATTGTTGATGCAGAGGATTAAACCAAAATCTTAACACTTAGATACATTATGTAGAATTAAAATAAAAAACTTTTTAACTGAGGTGGCAGGAATGGTCAGCAGGACACAGGAGTTAATCCTGTGATGGTGCACAGTATGTGCTGTTCTTTCACATTCTTCCAGTTTCTTGTGTCATCTCCCTTCCAAGGCAGCCAGGATGGCAGAAGAGCTGAAGAAGGAGCAGGACACCAGTGCCCACCTGGAGAGGATGAAGAAGAACCTGGACCAGACAGTGAAGGACCTGCAGCACCATCTGGAAGAGGCCGAGCAGCTGGCACTGAAGGGAGGGAAGAAGCAGATCCAGAAGCTGGAGGCCAGGGTGGGTACCAGCACAGAAACATCTTTCTTCTCCAAGTCCTGTGTGAGGGCTTAAGCCTATTGTTGATTAATTCACCAGATCCGAGAATTAGAAGCTGAACTGGAGGAAGAACATAAAAAATCCTCAGAGGCTATGAAAAACATCTGCAAATATGAACGGCGTTTCAAAGAGCTCACTTTTCAGGTGGGTAAAAATAGAAAGCAATTCTGATGTTTTGTCTCCCAAGGACATAAAATTACACGTTCTCTTTTCACAGTGTGAAGAACAAAAGAAGAACATGGTTAGGTTACAAGATCTGGTAGCTCAACTGCAGATGAAAATCAAATCCTACAGAAAACAAGCTGAGGAAGCTGTGAGTCACTAAAGTGAAGCAAATAATTATTTACCAGGACTGCCAGTTTAAAAGTTGGCTCTGTGCCCCAGCATGTTGCCAGATGGTTTTAAATTTTTGTTTTGCAATTTCAGGGTGAACAAGCCAATACTGATCTCTCCAAACTGAGAAATGCACTGCATAAGATAGGTGAGGCCCTGGAAAGGGCAGATATTGCTGAGAGCCAAGTAAATAAACTGAGAGCTAAGGCCAGAGAAGGCTCTGCTACAAAGGTAAGGCTTTCCTGCAGGTGTACTGTTTGCTCAAGTGAGTCTAGCAGCAGATTTGTGCCTTGTACAGGCATCATTTGGAAAGGACAGCTCTGGAAGGAAGGGGCTTTTAAAGACAAGCTGAGTGGGTTGGGGTTGTTAAAATGGAATAAGCTTAGCAGTGCACGTGTCCTCATTTTGCCAGTGAAACAATGGAATTAATCTTTTCTTCATGCTTCAGCTGTGGATGGTGGCCATCCTGGTGTTATCTGCATATATTTAATTCACACAGTGGTTTTAAGGGTTCCACACATGTCTGCATTGGCTCAGGCTCCACTTGCCCATCCTAGCTGGATGATGCCCTGAGATGGATGATTTTAGGGATCAAAAGACTCATCTTGGCATGTGTAGACTAAACAAAGCCTCTCCTTTCTAGGTGGTGTTAGGAACTGAAAAATGAACTTCCTCTGGGATAACTAGAAATTCCACAAGGTACCTCTCCAGCTGTGGAAGTAATTTTCCCTTTGTTTAAGAACACAAACATTTTCTGTCACTGCTGCTGTACCAGTGTCAATAAAATAGAGATCTGCAACTTCAAATGCTCCAAATGTGAATGTTTAAATGAGAGTCTCATTTTGTTACTAAGTTAATTATAGTCAAAAGCCTGGCTTTGAGTCTTACTACTTCTATTTCTGTTCTGAGTCTTACTGTTTCACTTTGACCAATTTTATCCTGAATTTAAAACCTGGAGGTTTGACAGGCTTTTTGCTTTTCCAAAGGAGGAATTCTGTTCCAGCTCCTGTAGCCTAGAAGCAGCACATTCTCAGGAGAGCAGCTGCACCTTGTTCTCAGCTGCTCATGACACAGTGCTGTGCTTCAGTCCAAAGCCCTGCTGTGCTCATAGGCCATGTCACTGACCCCAGCCCACCATGTCAAATGATTGGTTACTCAGTGCAACATGAATTTCTGCTTCCTGAACCTGCTGAAAAACAGTTGTATCTTGTTTAGGAGTAGCTGTGCAAAATCACCAGAAAATTACTAATTGCTAGGCAAGTCTGGTAACCCTTACCAGCCTGTCATTATTCATTCCAGAGTATCCAGGCATTACATGGCATTGTCATGTGATCCTCCCAGCCCTCTTGCCTGCTTCTGGGACAAAGTTTGCTGTTTGCTCTTGCCCCAGTGTAGTGGTTTTGGTTTGCTAATTTGAGATTTCCTGGCCAACACACCAATGGGTGTGGTGGGTTCAGTGCTGGCAAATCACTGAAACTCACAAAGCAAGGCCAAGGCAAATTAAACAGAAATAAATGAGACATTAAAAATGTGGAATTAAAGAAATTTGCAACAGAAAGAGGATCTTAAACAGAAAAAGGATCTAATGGGAATAAGTTAGGGAGGGAATTTGTGATGACTGGGAATAGGAAAACGGATCTCTGAGACATTTGTGGTGCTGAAGAACCAGTCAGAAATGGAGAGCTTCAGGTGGAAAGAAGTAAATACACTCCTGGATGCAAAGGATTAGTGTTTCAATACTCAATTTCAGCAAGTTGGAGCCTTACAATACTCTCTGGTACCTCTCTCACTCTCATGGGTATGGTTGAGAATAAAGCAAGGAGGCCCCATGCCCTCAGGCAGGATCTGCCCTGAGCACAGCTGGGCACTGCTGATGGCACTGAGGGCTGGCCCTGCCTCCCAGCAAACTCACAGCTCCCTCTGTCCTCTCCTCCTGCACTCCCAGGCCACACCAAACTGCCCCTCAGCCTCCACAAGAGCCATTGCTGGAGGAGAGGACAAGGCTGAAAGGAGCTTTGGAGGAGGCCCATGGCAGGAGGATCAGCCCGTCCTCCTTTCATGCTCAAAGTCAAAAGCCCAAAATAGCCGCAGTCTCCCAAGGCTCCTGTGCGGGGTCGTGCCTGTTTGTGGGGATGATCTGCTTCCACTAATAGCGCCTGAAGACATTCCTGGGCGGGTAGGCTGCCTTCTGTGTGGCACTGCAACGTGCCTGCCCTGGAGGAGCTGGACACGTGTGCTGTGTCCCAAGGCAGCAGCTGCTATTCTTACCCCAGAGAGACTCAGTGCAGCACAGCTCCATGGCCAGCTGAAAGGTTAAACACCAGAATGGGGCCCAGCACCGTGGCCATGGCCATTCCCTGCTGGGATGTGCTGTCCCATGGGCAGCACAGCAGCTGCCCTGGTACTTCCAGCAGTCAGCCAGGGCTCCTTGGGGTGGATGGGGCATTCCTTCTCCGTAAACCAACAAAAATGCAATGCCCGTGGACCCAGAACTCCATCTTCTGCTCTGCTCTGCCCCAGTTCATGAATCCCTTCCCTGGTGAGGAAAGCAGAGGCTCCAGGAACAGCAGCATTGCAGAAAGTCTTGTCCCCTCTCGCAGCCAAGTGGAGCAGGAGCAGCCTGTTGAACTGTTCAGATCAAATAGAACTGGGCCCCAATGCATGAGGCTGAGCAGCTGAACTTGATATATTGTGGCTCTTGTTGCAGAAAAAAAAATTGCTGAGAGTGTGGAAGAGTAACCACAGAACTGAGATGGGCTTGAAACAGTGCTGGGGACTTCAGAAAAGGTCTGGGAGGAGGAAAACAAGATGGATGTATGCAAGGAAAAGAAATAAGTAATAATACAGTAGAGGATGTGGGGGTGGAAGAAATGACAACTCAGAACAGGTTTGGGGATGAAAGGTCAGGAGAAATCTGAGGGGAACTGCTGGGAAACACTACAATGATAATCTGCAAACTACTAACTCATACCCCACCTCTGAAATTCTTTTTAAAGCCTAATTTTAGTTTTGAAGAAACAATTTTCTGCATTTATTCTGTTGTTTCATTACTGCTGAGAAGGTGTAAGTGCTGTGCAGAGCTGTCTGCACTGCAGAGAACCAATCCTCAGGCAAACCTGGGAACACAGCCTGTCCTGAGGGGGTCAGAGTGAAAATCCAGACCTTCCCAGAGACCTGAAGAATTCAGGGGAGGAATTCACAGGTGGAGCCTGGAAGCCCCCAATATCCAGACCTCACCTGAGCTCCCCAGGCTGGGCAGGTAGCTCAGATTGGGGTCCAGCAGCCTCAGGAGCTGCTTTTCTCTCTGGCAGAGGGAAAGTGGATCGGGTGGTGCAGAGTGGTCCAAGTTTTGAGCTGCTGCTGTGCCCCACCCCACAGGGACCTCGCTTGTCACTCTTTTTGAGCCTACCCTGTGGCATATATTTTATGTAGGATCATCCAAGGAAAAGAACCCTGGATCTGCTCTGCTTTGTACAACTGATTTGTGCTTCAGGAGCAGCAAATTGTATTTTTACTTTGGCACATGAGATGAATGCAGAAAGCAATTAAAGAAATGTTTAGCCTTACCCACAAGGGAATCTGTCTTCCAATATAAAATAATGAAACCCTTAATAAATTTCCTAAGGAAGCAAAAGGAACTTTTCTGCAAGAACAAGTTAGTTCATAAATGTCACTAGAAATGTCTGCTGTGTATCCTGTTGGCAACTTCACTACAGTGAGTGTCACTCAGAAAATTCTGTGGCAATCCACTGGCTTGTCTTAGCTTGAAAAGCCTAATTTTTAAAGTGAGCAGATTTATAGAAATTCCATACCAGTTTATTTCCATTTACAGCACTGAAATCTGCCCAGAAGTAGGATTTGTGCATCTGTCCCAAATGAGTGCCAACCGAGGAAGACACCACCTCATTGCTGACTTTTTTAGGCTACAGTTGCTGCTTGTGCTAATATTATGCACCTAATCCTAGTTCTCCTTCCCTCCCCCTTTTGCCACTTGCCTTGTTTTGACTTTGTCTTACCCGGAGGCGTCTTAGGCTGCCCACCCCACTCCCCTGCTCTGTAACAGGAGCTCCTCAGCTGCTGTGGTGGGTGACAGAAAGGACATCCTGAATGTCACCTCCTGGGCCAGCTCTTCCGCTGCTGTTTGCTGGGAACATGAGGAGTCTGATTAACAGCACAACTCTGATACTCAAAGGAGGGTTCTCACCCCCAAATGAAAGTTTGCTGCTTTACCTTCCTCCCCACTGCTCTGTGAGCTGGGCTGTGCCACTCCTGAGTCTCACCCACTGTCATTGAGAGTGAGAGTAAAAGATTTTAAAATCACAGAAAATTCGGGGAGCTAGAAAGAAAGTTAGGCTTAGTAGGCCCTGGGAAAATGTTAAAGGTAGGCCCTGGGAAATGTTAGACCTTGTATTTGCTAGATCAGGTGAAACTGCACCTCTATAGTCAGTATATGATAAATGATATAATTGTTAGATGTGATTAAATATAATTATTGTTTAAAGAATCATGAGAAACTATGTTAGAGGTTTGAGGGGATCGCAAGAAATCCATGCTTGGATGAAATAAATGTGTACAATAGAACAATGTAAGTTTAATAATTAATATGTAAGTTATATAACGATAGAATATAAAACATGTTCGGTCCAAACCCATGGTGGAGTCAGATTTGGGTTTGTGTTCCCTGACACCCAGAGCTCTTAATAAAAGCACCTGCATATAAACATTCTGTGATTATGTGTTCCTGAACACTAACAAGAGGAACACAACTTGAGAAGCATGGCCAAGCACAGCTGCTTGTCACCATGCCTGTTCCCTGTGTGACATGGCATTAAGAGAGCTGAGAACACATCAAACGTGTATATAAACAATGAACAGATGTATGTAGGTTGTATCTTATGGAATATCTTCCATGGTTCATCAGGGTCTGGGCACCAGTCACCCAGCAAGCTGGTTTGGTTGAAGTAGGGCAGAGTAATCACCAGCAGTGGCCCACCACATGCAGGACTGCCTTCCTTCCACCTTATCTGCAATGTGTGCTCAGAGGAGCAGCACATCCATGTGGAAGAGGTTTTACAGTGACCTCTGTGAGCCAGAAAGAAGTTTGAGAAGAGGATCCATGTTTACCTCTGAAAGAATTTCCTACCAAGGTCATTGACATAGAAACCAAGAAAGAAAGAAGGACAAATAAGAGAAACCTGATCTGTCTATTCCAATTAGCACTTTGTTTATCTTTTCCTGACCAATGAGTAAAGTGTAAACATATGAGTTTTGTAAGAGTGTATAAAAAGCATGCATGCTATAATAAAAACAGTTTGAAGCCTTCTGAAAATGGAGTGTTGCTTTGTATTGCGACTGTCTCAACTACGACACATCCAAACAGATCCTGCTCATCCCCAGTGCCCCCCATGGCACTGAGCACATCTCAATTCCTTATCGGGCATCAGAGACCCTGGCCACCTAAGGAGGAGCTGCAGTGACCTGTCCCCACACAGAAGGACACATCTCTGTCTGTGTAAAGCACCTGAGCCTGCTCTCCAGGCAGGAGGTTTCCTACTGCAGCAGAGGCTGAGCAGCCCTGAGCTCTCTCCAGCCTCCCAGGGCTCAGTAGCAGGGTGTGCAAGGGGATCCCTGTTGAAGAGGATATCTGCTCTATCCCATGACCATTACAGGCTCCAGGTGGGGTACAAATAGATCACTGAGACCTGAGAAGGGCAAAGTCTTCTTAGGCTTCATATAGAGATAGTAGGAATGTGCTTGTGCTTCTGTCTCCTATTACTGGCAGGGACACACAGAACACATTGTGGTT